CTCCCTCACCCTCCTGTCACACTCACATGACTCTCAGGGAATGCCTGTTCCAGGAAAGATAACGTTCCTCGGCAACGCTAATTTTTCCCGATGATTTCCAGTTCCAGGGAATTCTAGTTCTAGTTAAGAATGACGGATTAGGGACATCAACGTTGTCAATTTCGTCAGTGGGACCTTCAATGGACTCCGTTATAACTGAGGTTCTCACTATACCCGAGTTCGCTATAACAGAGGTAAAGTGTAACGTCCCTTATGGGCTCTACGCCGGGACCTGGCGCTTTTCGTCGTTATAACAGAGTTCGACTGTGGGAAGAGTAGAAAAACATTTTTTAATGGTTCTAGCTCACTAGCCTCCATTGGTTTTATGAATGCATGAGGTTTCGTCGTAAAAATGATGAATGTCTTTGTTGCAGTTGTTCGATCACATAGCAGAATGTATGGCGCACTTCATGAAGGAGCATGGTGTGTATCGAGAGCAACTTCCCTTGGGCTTCACCTTCTCCTTCCCTTGCAAACAAGAGGGTCTGACTAGAGCCAGACTTGTCCAGTGGACTAAGGGCTTCAGATGTAGTGGGGTTGAATCACAGGATGTTGTCCAGCTCCTCCGTGAGGCTGTTGCACGGCGTGGGGTATGTCTTACTACTCTCATTTCCAGAATCAAGAGCAGAACTTACCTAGTCATAGGGATGAAACACTGCATAAGTTCTCTTGATTCATACAATTGGACATAGTGAATGCTAATAGAGTTCTTTTAGTATGTCATTATAGATTCTGTCACAGAAGGCTCTACTGGGAGAGAAACTAAGATAAAGGCTTAAATTGAACCTCATATAACCAACTGTTGAGGAAACTAACATTTTTTCCAGTAGCATTCACTCGATTCATCTATCTATATTATTGGTACAAAAAACAATGAACTTGTATTACTCAGGTTTTATTTTATTTTTTATTTGAAAGCTTATAAGAATATTACTTTGCCTGTCTAATGGCTTATCTTGTGTCTTGAGTAAGTTCTGTCTTCTTTTTTAACATTCATCTGAATGATTGAGGGAATTTTTTTAAGGCCTCATTTTGCCAGAGACACAACGAATGAGGAGAATAAAACCAGCATCTTCCAATTCATATTCTGGGATGAAGAAGCCAGAATTGCTTCTTGAATCCCTTGGAGTTCTGAATTGAAAACCAGAATTGCTCTTGCCCCTTGTCAAGTAATAAAAAAAAAGTGATAACAGAAATTCTGAATAAGAGTTCAGGATCCAGTGAGATCATTCCATTATTGGTGCCTTCATTTTGCCTGCTTTTAACATGATTTGAAGTAGCTCATGTAGATAAGTAGGACATTCCATAGTTCTAGGTTTGAGAGGTGATCTGTGGCTAACCTTTGCACTAAACCTCCCTTTCTAGGACATAGGAATAGATGTCCTGGCTGTCCTGAATGACACCACAGGTTGCTTGATGTCCACTGCATGGAGAGAGAGTACTACCTTTGTGGGAGTCATTGTTGGTAAGATAGGTTGCAACTCATCTTTCTAAGAGCACTTCCCTCCATGGCTCTTGTATATTTCATTCAGCCTATATGAAGCTTCAATTTAATGAAGAACTCCCCTGCTTGTTGGGACTTGTATCTGGTAGGCAGGTGGATGGCTTGGTTGGTAATGAGCTTGGCTCCTGTTGTAGGGAACCCAGGTTTGAACACAACCAATCCATTATTTATTTCCAAGAACAAGCCTGGCATGCTCAGAAGGTGATACCTTGGAGCACTTGCGCACTCCCATCTCAGGATGTGGGATGTTAAAGATCTTTGGCAGTGGAGACTGAACCTGGGTAGCTCAATTTGGCACAGACCATATTGAGTCTCCCAAGGTTACTTATGTTGCTGGCATTGTAGAGGAGGAGGGTTTAGATGGGGGGGCTGGGCTAGCTGGTCATTCCAGAGTTTGGGTGCAGTTATAGGCTGAGAGCCTCTTGAACCTGGTATCTTNGGGGGGGCTGGGCTAGCTGGTCATTCCAGAGTTTGGGTGCAGTTATAGGCTGAGAGCCTCTTGAACCTGGTATCTTTTCACATCTTACTGTATTATATAAATGAGGAGAGCCATCTCTGGGAACTGCTCTACTGTATTTTTGCTTTCTGCAGAGATATTCTAACTTGCATATTTGATCCTGAGTGCCATTGGTTAACATGCATCACTTGCCCAGTTACTCACATGGCATATTTTTTATTGATAAACGGCTATGATCCCAATATATTATTAGTAAGAGTTCTGTTTACATTCATCTTTTAGTGAACAATGGATTTCATTTTGGCAGGATATACAAATTACCGTGTGTGCTTTAATCAATGATACTACGGGGTGTCTGATGTCCTGTGCTTGGAAAAGCAGATCATGTTATGTGGGTGTCATCATTGGTGAGCTTTCATGATTTCAGGTCTCCCATGACTTTTCACCCTCTGTAGCCATGCAGCAAATATACCTACTAACAATGCTATGAAAATCCATACCTGAAGGTGGCTTGAGACATCTCTTGGTTTTCCAGGTCATGTTTTGATACAAGAAAGTTGAGTGCAATGTGGAAAATCAAATGCTTAATTGTGCTACATGGGAGAGTCAGCCATCAGTCAGAGCATAAGGAAAATTGAATGCAATGGCTGTATCCCAACGCTTTGTCAATCAGCTGTCTTCTTATTGCACTTCTACAACTCGTAGCAGATTCACTTGCATATGCACTTGCATGCCAAATTTATGTGGCAGGTGGTTCTGTTTTTCCTTGAATGGCATCATTTAGCTGGGTTGCATTTCACTATATTCAAAGGAGAAGGCAGGGGAATGAGAGTGGATTCAATTTTACCCAGAAAGTTCCTTTGTGCCCCCTGGGTAATTTCCAATTTCAAACCTTAATAAAACTTTTTTTCATGAAAAACTTTTGCAATGCATTGGGCATTGTGGTGCTGTGCCATTCAACAGATGCTGCAAAATAATGTTGGGAACAGTAGAAATGCCTGCCACCAGGACAGAGGCACATTTGACATTCCTTATGTTAATTTTTACTATGCCATGCTGCACAAAGATGAATTTGAGTTTCCTTGTCACTTTTGGCTTTCTTGTATCCATATTTTGACTTGGGGAAACCTGTATTTGTAGGTGCAGATTCTTTAATTCCTGGTAGGGTACAAAACCCCATGAAGAAGATTCTGTGTGATACTAATGATTTGAGAGTGTTCCTGTCTTAATTATGCAGGGTGATCCAGAAGTCACACAACCCTCATCAAATGTAAGGAAAAAACATTTAACATTACAACATGATTACAGATGTATATGATTGCACGAGGTACAGTCATTACAGTGCCCAGGTGTATCTGGAAATGCATGCCTAAATGCATCCTGACATATGGGTAAGATTTAGACTTGAAATATTGCTCAAGAATAAAAACACATTGTGGCAGTGAAAAGGGCAATGTCAACAATAAGTCAGACTACAACTTTTCAAGGCCATGTGCATAACCTCATGTGCATGTGCACTTGAACCATTGTTGCCACCTCTAAGACTACTGGAAATAATTGTTTTGTCACATATAAAAATACATTTGATAAGGGTTGTATGACTTCTGGATCACCCTGTAGTTGGACTCACATGACCATAGATTGGTAGGAATGATAGAAATCATAGACATGAGGAATAATTTTATTTTAGAATTTTGAAGCTTTGAGAACTTCTTGAAACCAACATCCTGGTTTTTCCTGTTTGAAAAAGTAGTGGTCAGTGGTGAAAGAGAGTCATCATTTCTATCCTGTACAGCAAATAATTTGCTATAATTTCATGACAGTTTGAAGTTTACAAATATGATTTTTATATCTACCAGCAGAAGTATAATGTGTCAAAATTACACTGCTTGAAAAATTAATCAGTACCAATTCCCTGTTATCCCCATGGTTGAAATAATTACTACCTATGTAAAGATACTTTGACTTAATAAAATTTGCCATGATCACCTGTTGAGTTAACAGGAGTGATGTAATATGCAAGGGTGGTAGATCCTGGACACTTGGAGATCTGTACTGTTCTTAGATGAATCTTTCTTCAATTTGCAGAGTGATTCTCAGCCTTTTTGTGTGTCAAGATTCAGACAGTCGTCATTATCTGACTTTGATTATAGGGATTGTGGGGCCCTTGTATGGGCATGATGTCATGATTGATATACCCATACAAGGAGGTATCATGATTGATGGTCACATGGGTTTCTGTAAATTGACAAATGGTGGAGTAACAGGATATAGGTACAGGAATGAGATATTGTGACCTATTGTTGGACTATATCGTGAGGCTGTAAGGGCCCAATTTATTATTAATGATATTTGCCCACATTGTGTCAGATTGATAGATGAATTCTTGTAGATCAAAGTTATGACATGTTGGACAGGCCTGCACGGTAATCAGACCTCAACCTGATAGAACATGCCTGGGATGTCCATGAATGATATTAAGTGGGCCAAAATCAGCTACCACAAAATAGACCTTATCATTGCCTTCATAAGGAAATGGCTAGAACTCCTAAGGAACTTCTCAGCAAATTAGTTGGGAGCATATCACATTATTGTCAGGCCTTCATTAATGCTAATGGTGACCACACTTCATGCACAGGCCATTGCTAGACAAGCAGAGGAGGGTTAGAAAAGGTGATACAAACCCCTAGGTATTATACTGTGGAACTTCATGCTCACAGTATAAGAAAAATAAATCATACAGGATAATACTATCTTAATTTCTATATCAATCCTGCTTAGGCATTTTGTCCTATCATTGTATGGAATTATTGTGATCAAGGGGATGCCAGAAAATTGGAAACAGTGGTGACACTTGAATTTTTTTTTTGCAGTGTATTCTCTAAAATAAAAATGAAACAATGACTAAGTTTCTTAGTCTGATTTCCTTGTTTGGGTTTGGAATACAGGAACAGGGACCAATGCCTGCTACATGGAGGAACTGGATAATGTGGAGCTAGTGCAAGACTTGCCAGAAGTGAATGAGGAAGGTCCATCACAGATGGTGGTCAATACTGAATGGGGTGCTTTTGGAGACAATGGGGAATTGGAATTCATTCGTACTGAGTATGATCACGAGATAGATAGGAATTCCATCAATAAGGGTCGTCAGCTGTAAGCTTTTATTACCATCATTATTGACCTGCATTATCACAGTTTCAATGAAGATCTATGATGGGTTCCATTTCATCTCTTGCAGGTATGAGAAGATGATCTCGGGTATGTACATGGGAGAATTGGCCAGACTGGCTCTGGTTCGCTTAGTGAAGATGAACTTGATCTTTGAAGGCCAAGGTTCAGAGCAACTCTTTGAAAGAGGCTCCTTTGCTACAAAGTATATCTCTGAAATTGAAGAGTGAGTTGCTGGTGAAATTTTCAAGAACTGACATTTGTGCATGGAATACTTTCATTGTGTTTGTGTACTCGCATGTCTCCAGCAGCAAATGTTTTGATGCCATGCCTTTCCTCCTTTTCCAGTGACAAGCCAGGAGAATATCATAACTGTATGCAAGTGCTGGAGGAGTTGGCTCTTGATGCAACTGAAGAGGATTGTGCCAGTGTACGATACGTTTGTGAGTGTGTGAGCAGACGTGCAGCTTATCTTGTTTCAGCTGGAATTGCAACGCTCCTCAATAAGATGAAGAGACCCAAGGTCACTGTGGCTGTGGATGGCTCTGTCTATCGGTTTCATCCGCACTTTCACGACCTCATGACAGCCAAGATCTCACAACTCCTCAAGCCTGGCATTAAGGTAAGTAACAGGAGTACCTGTACCTCAACCATACAAAACAGTTGTTCAAGTGGGTGAGAAATTATTACCATTGTTCCCCAGTTTGAACTGATGCTCTCTGAAGATGGAAGTGGGAGAGGAGCTGCCCTGGTTGCAGCTGTTGCTTGCCGAATTGCCCTACAACAGGCAGAGCAGCAATCTTCAGCATCATCCTGAGATTAGCTGTTACAATTGGTGTTCATTTCTATAGTCAAGAGGACTGAGAGGCGAGGCTCCATTTCTCATGTGTTAGTTGAGATGTCACACTGCAACTAGTACTTGCCTTCCCTGTTCGAGATGTATGTTTTATTTTATGGCATTGAGATTGAGAAGAACTGGAATTTTACATTGGATTTATCAGAACACACTTAGGATGTTTTACGCTTCCTGTTTGGCTGAGTTGTTGAGGATCAGATTTTTTAGGATGCTGGAGTTGGTGCAAAGTAGTCCTGTCCTTCAAAATATCTAGGAAGGCTTTATGAATGTACCTTGACTCCAAAAAACTAGACTAAGCTCCCACTCCTGAAGGAAGTCAAATACTTTGGAGAGCAAGTTCCATTTCAGGGAGCTTCAACTCACTGAGTCAGTGTGGTGCCTATAAATCTGGCTTTCTTGGGTTGCTTTTGGCCCGATGTTGCAAGACAGTTTGTACAGATGATGTGCAATATGAAAAAGTGAATCTCTCGTGATAGTCTGTCTGTATGTGTGCAAGGTGAGAAGAGAGCTGGTTGTTTTCATCTCTTGTTCTTGGCAAGTATTCAGTTTTATTGTAAGACCATCACTCTTCTTTGTCCCCTGTTGCATGAGAGAGTATTTATTATATTGATTATGCCTGCTGTTATGGAAGCTTTATTTTGAAGATTTGTTTCTAATTTGAAATAGGTTCCCTCTGGGCTGCACTTCCTCCAGTCATATGCAACATAGAAAAAAACTAATCTGCAACTAGGATATATTTATTATGCTCAAAATGGCCGCCTTTGCTTTACATGGTATTTCATGGTTTTATTTCTAAATAATTTTTTTTTCAAAACCCTTCTTTCCTGTTTCAATCTCATTGCACTTGGGTCTGAAGGAATCTGGAATTAGAATCCTTTCATCCACACTGTGGCATATTTCATTTTCCTGCATGAGGTTATGTGAAGAACCACTAGTGACCTTCGTGGAATTTGAAACATTTGATATGGTAAATCTTTCTCTTCCAATTTGGATCACAACTGTGAAAAGATAATTTCTTTAATTTCCAGAATGGCACTGTTCAAGGGAAAACATGACAGCTCTCCACTTTACATACTCAAGATTGCAGGACTGCCTAGGGATTCACAATGATCCCCAAAGCTATAGGTCTAGTTCTTTACATGCCTTCCCTATTGCCACCCTAGACAGTCCAAACTCCCTTAGTAAGAAGATCCCAGAGATCTTCCACGGGACTCTCCATCTCACAATTATAATCTTATCTCTAGACTATTCATTTTCAATCAATCCAATATCTGATTGAATTCTGTGAATCCATAATACATTTTTGACTCGATGGGATCATTCTAAAAAGGAAATTAGGGAAACTTTGCTCTTGCTCATCAGTCCCAAGTTTACAGTTTTAGTAATGTTCCACAAAATTAAATACTTTATTCTGAAGCACTATACATTTTTTCAAAATGGATAACAAAATGCAAGGAGGGAGTTAAGAAACACAAGATCAAGAAGTAAAAAACCTGAGATCACATTGTAACAGAATCCCTTTGAAAATGAGAAGTTCACACTGACTCATTCCACGAGTTCCTCCTGAGAATCACCATTTCAGTCATGTTGAAGGTGAGGTTCAAATAGAAGAAATGTGCATATTGCACAAAAAATAAAATTCTACCACTAGAAGCAATGCAAAGGAAACCATCACAAGGTAACAGAAATCCATTTAATCTAAATGGAACATACAGGACATGGATCTACAGGGTGTTAGCAGTAACTCTAGCTTTTTTCTCAACTCTAAATCTAAAGTAACACACGGGGGACTTTATAGCGTGAATTTATAGTTTGACTCCTAGGAATTTTTTTCTGCGAACAGGCAGGTAGTGGGTTGCAGGGTTCTAAAAACTTCTGGAAAGACTCAACATTTTCCAAAGCCATCCATAATTCCAGGACTTGATGTGGACCCATTGAGTGGTTAGTTCATAAGCCTGAGCTGCCACTGCATGATTCATTCTGAAGGGGTTACATGAGTGAAGTCCCAAGACCTGAACAAACATGAGCATACAATGTGTAGGGAGTGTTCTGCAATTCCTTCTATTATTTTTCACTTGACTTAGGCACTCATGCAAGAGGAAAATCCCATGCACAAGTGTCCAGGTCAAGTGAAAAACACTACAATGATCACAGATGCTGTTCCATAATTGATCTTGGAAAATTGGATTGACTTGGAAAAGCATGAGGATAATGATGGTGGCTATGTGAAATTTTGAATGCTTTCACTTAGTAGTTAGCTGAAGCATCCTGTAAGGCTTTAGATTGCCTACATTCAGGAAAAATCTTAAGAACTTAAGTCTTTCCTGACTTGATAAGAGATCAAAAATTCACAGGAGCCTGAAAGGTAGTGCATTAGCATCTCACCAAGTATCTTGGTGTCTTTTTTCGGGCTCCTGTGAATTTCAAACCCTGCCTAATATCAAGTTAAGAAAAAAGTTGAGTCACATATCAAACACCCTGCATAGTTAATTAGTGGACTGAAGTCCTGTCATATGTCTGGTTCTTTGTGTCCTCCTTGTACCATCCTCATATATTACCTCTTTAAAAAATAAAAATGAACAAGATGCCCTATTTCCCAGCTGAAGCACCAAAGTCTTATGGAATAGAAAAACCTTTACCACCATGCAAGTACAGTATACAAAAAAAGTATCAGAAAGTTAATCTTAGGATTGAAAATAATTTCTTAAAATTCAGAAAATGAAGGGTGAACCTATAGTGGCAATACAAGAAATGCTTGCATTTATCATGCTCATGATGCTCTGCTGAACAGAATCCTTCTTGTGCTACTCCTACAGGGTAGGCCCAAAAAAAATTAGGTTATCATCACTCCACAGCACTGATCTCCAACAGTTGGCTAAAACTGCAAAAGTGCCTCAGTATTCATTCAGCTTTCCAATGATGGCAACATAATAAATATTTGTGACATGACTTTCATGGAGTCAAAGAGCATAAGAGGAGGTGTTGGAAAAGTTGGTGCCATGCTAGGGCATGCAAGAGGTCACCTACTTGTCATTATTGAATGAATGGATGTCACCTGGAGCACATCTTATAGGGTACTGGTGCACTTTTTAAGTGTTACCTTTATTACACTGTGTGTAACTGCACTGGAATGACGGATTGGATCTTAAATCTTTTGATATCAGTGGAAAGCTAGATAAATCTTTTATAGAGAGACGTTATTACAATATTTTCAAACTCTTGAAATACTATGCTGTGAAACATTAAAGATAACTGAATATTTTTTTTGGCCCACCCTGTATGAAACAGTTTTTATGGGAAGTGCACTTGACTGAACTCCCCTTGGCACCCATGATAATGGCAAATGAAAATGAATGTCTGAAGAACACAGAACTTAGAAGGCACAAGAAGAAGTTTGACATCACATATATAGAAACAATGCAGCTGCAAGTCCAGATACATAAAACAGGATTCGTAAAAGTCTCGCTCTCCTACCTTAGTTTCATCTACTCACCAGCATGGATTTGTTGCATTCTTCTAGGGGAAATAAAAACTACTGCCCTTGTAGCATCAAAATTCCCAACCCTCTCCCCCACTGATGAGCAATTCCTGTACTTCTTGATTTATATTGAAGGAAAATACTTTCTTGGAGATTCAGCAGGAGAGAGATTCTCCTAGACCTACTTCTGATTTTGAAAATTAAGCCTAACCTTGTTCAAAGGCAAAAATATGCTTCTGAGATAAACTAAATCAGAGTGAACTAAAAATCAGCTTACCAAAAGAGTTTCTCTCATCAGAACTGTCATTTCCAATCCCTTAATGAGGCAGGAGGTTAAGATGAAGATTCTTGACCAATACTCAATGAGAAAAAAAAAATTAACAGATACTGGACCTTCTCAAATGGCAGCACTTAAAATGAGATTAACACCTGCCCTACACTTTGAATCATGCAACCTTCTGGAAGATAAATTTTCCAGATAACAGCACATTGACAAGGAATTTTTTTTCCCCTTCCACATCCTATCCTACTTGATAAAGTCTTATTCCCAAGGGGCATCATGCAACTTTCATTCTGAGAAATACTCTCACAACTGCATTGTTTCCTGCATGTTGATACCCAAGAAGTGCCAGAGAAGTAAGACATCTATCAACTTATTTTCTACCTTAGTACTTAGACTACAATCAATAGAAGGGGCAATAGAGAGGCTTCAGCTGCATCTCTCCATTCAACTGCTTAAATCACCATCATACACAATATTTTGGTTCTCATGAGAGCAAATTTCTGTTCTAGAGGATATGGAAAAACCTTTCCATTACAAATGCCACAATAACCCTTTTGGATGCTACATTTGATCATAACTGCTGATAAATGCAGAACAATGGGCATCAAAATCAGAAGCTCGCAGTAGCAGGTACAATGCAAAGATCCACAGCCATCACATCTGATTCTGCAGGAATCATAAAATAATTTTGTGAATTATAAAATCAAAAATACTAAAAGTATGTTAACATATGACTGCACATGAAAAACTTTGGCCAGTAAAGGCTGAGATGTAAATGCTGATAGCAAACTGCACTTTAAATCAGATTCATAAACATCCTATAAATATAAGGTAAGATTTCATGACAAGATTCACAGAGACAATAAACAAAATGAAGATATTTCAATTTGGGACCTCCACATTGTGAATGAGAATGACCCAACAGTTGTAAAGGATTTGAAAAAAATGCTTTGAAACAAGCAGGAGGTCTGAAAGGAAAACAAATCATTGAACAATGAAATGTTTGTAGTTCGAGATTTTCTTCAGTTGCTTCTTCATAGCAGATATCAGATCAACAGGCTGGACCAGAAGAGATACCTCTTTGCCAACAGCATTGAGCCGTGCCTCCACTTCCTTGTTCTAGAAGAAGAGGACATGTTTGATGCAACCTTGATGGATTGCACACTACGTTACATGCACCACATCCATCTAGCTTCAACTTGACTATATTTTTCTTGAAGGTTCTTCAAGATATTCTGACCTGAAGGTATTTCCCATGTTCAAATTGAATTTCAGCTGAATTGATTGTAAAGTTTAATGTGCATCCTGACACATGTGAGAGTTGAATGGATTCAGGATTATTGAAGATAGCTCATCACTTTGACATGGAAGCTATACTTGAATGTGTTTCATCTATCACATGCCAAAAAAGGTACAGGATAGACCAGCTCATCATTAATAACTTATGCATTTTACTCAATTAAGAGAGCCAAGCAACACAAATCCAAACCAGATCATTGGTGAAAAATTGGAATATCTGGCAGATCCAAATCCTGCTTTGTGCTCCACTGCTGCCAGGCTGTTGCTGTTTTTAAATTTTGGTGGTTTGAGGAGCATTTCAAATAGTCACAGAAAAATTTTGAAGCACACTTATCAGTACATCAAATCTCATGCCTCTGATTGCTTCTTAGCCAATACTCTATGTAAAGGGTGATTTGAAAAAAGAAAGCCTCATTGTTTTCTATGGGAGAAAGGTGTCTTGGTATACAGGGTGTTCGTAATTAAACACAACATAGGGAATATTTTGCTGCCTGTAGGTGGAGGTCGGTGACACTATAAGGCCCACCGGGTTGCCTATCTGCAAGGAAACACACCAGTGTGATAGGTTTCATCATTGCAGATATGGAACCCGGTGAACTATAGGACACATGCTGAACTCCACAAACAGGCAGCAAAAATTTCCCTATGTTGTAATTAAATTCAAACACCCTGTATAGGGCCAAAACTGGTAAGCTAGATTATTTTTGGACAGCGATGATGAGTTGGAATGAGGATTAAGGGCCAAAATTAATTGAATTCTGAGATGGTCCAACAGAGAAAATTCTTCCCCTTGAGGTGGAAAGGAATGATCCACCTGGATTTTGTTTAATTTAGCATTTCAAGACAAGGCACAAGACAAGGGTTCTAAAATAAACCTAATTCCCATTCCATCTCCTTGTGGTCATCAATGTCAATTGAATAAATTACCAATTTTGGTTGCATAAACAGACACCCTTCTACTATAGAAAATGATGGAGCTTTTTAAATATCCCTGCATACACTGAAACTGAAGATTTCCTGATGACTTGAGGGAAATCAAAAGGAAATTCCATGAAATAAAAACACAATCATGCCATCAACAATCCTGTCCAAAATTGTCACTCAGCTGGCCCTTCATCTCAAGAAAAACTTCTTTAGATGAAGGCTCATGTGTATGAAGGAGCAACTTCTTTACTCTGGTGGTGCTAAGTTTCAAATAACCTGTAACCTCTACTTCAATTGACTCTGAATGAATTCCAATGAATACATTAATTTGAGAGGTGGTGCATGTCACCCAAAGACTTAATATTTACACCAAGAGAGGGAATATAGAGAACCTTGAAAAACAGATTCAGGGGCCTGCCATTGACTTCGGTGATGAACCACTTTGTTGGAAGGCCAGTTTCTACAGCCTTGGCTTCCAGAGTGAGCCCTTGAGCAGCAGCAAGGCCCAGTGGATTGACCACTTCAATTTCAGATGCCCCACCAGCACAATGAATCCCAAGGTCTTGGCCATCGTGTTCACGTTTAATGACCATCACATGTCCATGGGGAACCCGTTCCACCACAACTTCTATCTAAAAATGAGATAGAAAATGCATTTAGTTTCTCTAATTCTGCCTAATTCAGAAAGTTAAATGCTATTTAGTATTTAATGAGCTTGAGATCACCATGAATCCTGGGTGGTTCTTGAGGAGACGGTGGAGTTGAGCAGAAGTAGAGATGTTTTCTGATCCCACACGTTGAACTCTATCACCTATGTGGAATGCTGTGTGAAGCAGAGGTCGTTCTTTCTGCTTCCAGCCAGCCACCCTGAAACATTGTAAAATGATTCATGGTACAGGTTGGCTCACATTTATTGGATGGAACATGACCATTTTCTCCCCTTCCTTTGGAGGAAAGTAAGACTAAAACCAAATTTTTTTTACACTCTGAAACATTGTTTGCTTATAGATTTCAGACACCAGTCAAAAGAACCTCAAGACCTTTTCTTTGACCCATTAATTTAATGTAGGTCTGTCGATAAACAACAAATTTTTAAAAGCTGCCTTTGTGAAGTATATGACATAGAGTTGGAATTTTGAATTTTGAAAAACCTATTTCTTCAAAAAAAAAAAAAAACCCTGAGATATTCAAGGAAAAATATGTAGCATTCAGTATGGAACAATGCTATTAGAAATTGGAGATAAATCCTTTTCCAGAATCTGAGGGGTATCTCAAAAGGTCAAAATTAAGTATTCTTTGTTAATGCAGCAATGAGAAAGAACTGAAGTCTTGTAACACTGGCAAGTGACCACTACTAGTGCAGTAGCAGTGCTCAAGTGCAATGATAGATGTGTAGACTCAACAAAGCTTCTCAACAGAAGACATGAATAACTGCAATATTTTATGAGCCGGTGAACTAATCTTTCACTAAAATTCAACCAGCATTCCATTTCACACTCTTGCTGTTGTTCCATCCATGAGACATAGCAACAATGAATTGGGACAACAAAGGTGGGGAAAAAGATTTGTGCGATGCATTCCATTCTGGATGACTTATGATAACAAGTGATGAACACATGCAGAAGGTAGATTGCTGTCTTCAACAGGGGAAAAAGACTGACCTATAACATCAGTACATCATATTTTAACAGAAAAGCCCAGCAAAGGCAAAACTTCTGTGAGATACGCACCATATCAGACTCGTGTCAGGGGTGGCCAAACCATGGCCCCCAAGCTGCATATGGCTCCTGGTGAAATGCTTTAGACTCTGTCTCTAGTTCACTAAGAAAGCAATAAGATGTGATAGGCTTACCAGACAGAATTGAAGCACTGGACAAAGGCAACAGAGTCAAGGCAGTCACGCCTACTGAGTCGTAACCGTACTCCAGCTGGATGAATCATTTCTCTCTTTAGCTGAGCCACCTGCTGCTCTCTCAGAGTCAAGGTGACAACATGGCTTCTTCCACCTCCTGCCTCTCTCTGCTTACATAAAAAGGATACAAGATTGTTCATCTGTGAAATCCAAGTGATAGGTGAATGGGCTACTCATGCCTTCCCACTCCAATGTTAAACAAAACTAGAAAAAATACTAAGATGAACTTCTACTGTAATACCAAGAACAAAGAACAAACCATATCTGTGTGTGGTCGATCTCTGGAGTCAAGGCTGGCAGCTCTAGGAATAGAAATGCTTCTGGCAGGACTGCGTCGACTCTCTGAAAGCCCTGAAGTTGCCAATGCTAATGACTCATATTCACTAGATGAATCATGCAGCCAAGATGATGTGGATATTTCCATAAATCTATCACAGATGTGTTGAGGATGAACTTGTAGTGACTGAGCTCTCCGTAAGGATTGTGAACCAGAAAGATTTGGAACTTCCTGCATCAATGGAGGAGCTACAATTGTTCCAGAAGTAAGGCTCCTCTCCCTATAAATATATAGCAATCGAGCAGTTTCATGAATGGCTGCATTCATAATTGGGTGAGGGGAATCTATGGGAAGAAGCTGTTACCTAAATGCAGGAGAAGTTGTAGCAGGACTAGATGACTCTGCCTCTGAAAAGGAAACATTGTGATTATTGGTGGCTAGAGCTGTCACAACTAGCTTGGGTTATATGGAAACAAATAAAATGAAGCACCATTGAGGCTGCGACTTCGTTCCACCACAGTGCCTGGTGGTGGTCTTGCTGGGATAGGAGGTGGAGCTGGCAATGGAGAATGTGGGTCTCGAATAGGGGCCAGGGGAGCACGAGCCACAGGCTCTTTGGAATAATTATTATCTTTAGGGGTCAATATGCTCAGAGATCTAAGTTGATAGCTTAGTGTTTCCATCCATCCCTCCATCTCCTCCCTAAAGAGAAATAAAGAAAAGTATAGTTTGATGTCTTTCAAAATGAAATCTCACCATAGAAGGAGCCAATATTACCTGGAGCTGGCAACAAGTTGAACGATTCCATCTGATAAAGTCAATACAAAGGTGTGCTCATTCTCATTCTCATTTATTAGGAAAGGTGAGATGTGTAGACAGTTTCGCAATGGGATGCTAAGAGCTGGCTTGTGAGGAGCTGCTGATTTCTTGTCAGGGTAGAATTCCAGATGAGGATCTTCATCATCATGGATACAAAATATGGTCCAATATGAGTCCATCTTCTTCAAGGCCTGCCATGAAAATGGAGATGTTTAGAAACAATGCAGCTCATCCTCAGGGAATATGGATTGTTCACTTTCATTGTAGTGAGACACAAAGAGAGGACTAGCAGAGAGCTGCAGAGGGTTTGGCATTTTTTTTACGATGTGAAATGCCATGCATACCATGTTCTTAGGCTGAAATCGTTGGAGTCCATATCCCTGAACTTCCACCTTCTTCAACCAGCTTCCTCTATGGACTTCCCTAACAGTGACATTAGTAGGATGTGACTGAGGTCTTCCACTTCCATCCATGTCTCTGGTGGGGCCAAATGGCCTCACATTGATAGCAGTTGCCATTCAAACTGAGCTCATAATTGCAGATTTAGAGGGAAGCAAACATTGGTGGACTTTTTCTAAGCAAAATATCATTCCATGCCTAATTTACTCAATCCATGCAACCTGTAAAGCAAGGAAAAAAACATGCAATGGTACAGTGAAAATTATGAATTAAAGAACCAACAGCACCCATAGGTGCTACCAACAGGAGGGGGCTACTAAACTCTCTGGCCTTTAAAATTGGGGAGAAGGATGCAAAAGGTCAGTTTTGTCTACCCCCTCACCCACCCAAGAATTTACTCACTTATTTTCCTTTTTTCATAAAAAGGGACAGAATCCTGAAAAATAATTCCTCAACTTGCTTGGTCTTTTACTGACATAATACTTCATTCAATGCTGTTCATGTTTTATACTGAAGCATTACAGGTGTGATGCACAGGGGCAAAACTACACTCAAATAATGTAATTAAGCTATGGAATACATGAAAGATTAGTAGTGACTTTCCTTTGATCTAAAGTGCTTGTAGATTGATTTTTCTAAATTATTTATACAGGCAAAAATGTTGCTGACATTTTTAAGCACTTGGAAGAAGTCTATGAAGGGATTATCACCTTTATTGGTAAAATATGCAATGTCCTGTGTTCCACATTTGAAAAATTACATTTTCTCAGTTGTTTCAAACAACTGTTCATGTCCTAATTGTAAACCATGAAAATTTTTTTCTTTTCAACAGATGCATGCATGTCCATGAAATCATAATGTTGCTCATCCTTGTCAGTTGTTAATATTTTGGCAAATACTCAAAAATTAACAGGTGAATACCATCTAAACATTGCTGTGTTTTATACATATTTCATATGAATGAGGAGAAATTTCAAATATTGAAGGCATTATAAAACTTTACCTTTTGCTAAGTCATTGAAAAAAAGACTGTTTATAGAATTGTAAAGAGATCTGTGTGAGCTAGGCTATGTTTGTACACTGCCAGGTTATCACTTTCAGCAAGTTTTTGCAAAAACATGGATAACATATAGGGGTGTGAAATGTCAAATTTTCAGAAAAACATCCATGCACTCATTTAAAAGGCACAGGAGTTTTAGAAGTAGCCCCCAATACTTTGGCCACTGTGTAGAAATAAAATAACCATAATTCCACAATTTAATTTGACAAAGACCTGTAATACTAGAGTGCCAGGTATTTTCAGACTTTTTGGTGTGGTAATCAAGTTGACATTTCGGTGAAATGGTCATTCTCTTATGTTTAAAAACAATCTCAGCAACTTTGGGTGCAAGATTACTTTCAAAACAAACTGATCCATAGTTCTCCAAGAATGTGTTTCTTTTCTCATTTTTACAACCAAGTGGCAAAAGAAGACATCTTACTTTGTCTGCAAGGTTAGGGAAACTGGGTTTAGACTAGAGCTGTACCAATGGCCACCTTTGGCCGATGGGCTGATTTTCATCTCATAACCATCAGCTGGTGCTGATTGTTGCATGAAAATTGAGAAGTAGCATGAAAATGCACACTAATTTATATAGGCCTATTTGGAAACCATGTGATACAGGGGACTCCTAAAAACAATAGAGGCCATATTTAGTACTGTCTGCATGTGTCTGTCAGTGGTTAGCTTGTTACCTATTGCTACTGTTAACCCCTTGAACACATGACACACCTGTATGCATCATGGTGGAACCATGGAACTGATACACATGACGCTCACTGGTTACTCACAGTGAGTGCTCACGGAGGGGAAAGGTATCACAAGAGGAAGTAAAGTCAGAGAACTTTAGCAGAAACAAAATATTATTCTATTTAATAAAAAATTCTGGCATATGACAGCAGGAAACTGTCCAATACCTGGTGTGTTCAAAGGGTTAAGAGTGTTTACAGTGTTTTTCACTTGAGTCAGATACTTTTTCACTTGACTTCGACACTCAAACAAGAGGCCAAGTGCCCATGCACATGTTCAAGTCAAGTGAAAAACACTGTAAAACACATCTCTAGCAAATGCATGATGTAAAAGGAGTGACATTGATTGCCAGTTCTTAACCGTATTTTCCTCTGCCAGTTCTTAGAATAGGGCTGAAATATAATCTGATATTTTTGGGTTCAAAAGTTCACTCCAATTTTTTTCCCACAAGTTTTACCTCTCCTTTAGACAATGGCAGCTTGCAAACCAGCCGATGGCACCAATAGTGCAACACCGGTAGCTGATACATCAGTACAGCCCTAGTTTAGACACTAACAGGAAAAGATCTATAATACATTATACACGAAGGAGAGGTGCCAATTATGCGGATATCACAAAACTACAAGGTATACCAAAAAAGACCAAGGACTTGGAACTGACATATCTCCACTCCCATTGGAGCTATTTTCATGAGACTTGTACTATGCAAAGATGAGGATGTTTCCAATGTTTTCATAACTTCATTTAAATTCATCCAGCCATGGTAAGGGTATAAACGATTATAGAAAAGAAGTTTGATGCTGAAAATGGGCAAAAGCACATGAGAGCATAGACATACAGGTTACAAGTCATAAGTCTTTTTTTGCCATACCATGTGTAACAGAGAAGAGTTGTAAATTGGGTAACATATGGCAGAACTATAATAGCTTCACAGCAACAGCTTCAACATTACTCCATTGGATGACAATAATTTTTAAATTTAATTGATCTTCTTTGGTAGAAGTGGGGCCACTTGATTACTGCCTCAATCAATGACTTAGCCCAAGTCAGGTGTTCTGAGAGAGTAGATGTTACTCGAGTTGCATGACATTTGGCAACAATCAGAAGAAGGTAGGGGGTGGAATCAATTAAAGGTCACTACAGGACCTGAGGTCACTCCCTAATTGCTCCCTTCTCTTACCAGACAATAAATTGGGAAAAACAGAAAACATATAAAAAAAACTGAGCTATATGGACATTAAACCAACAGACTGATACTTGCAATAACCTAGCTCTAATGAACATAGTTCCTTGCCAATTCAACCCCCCTCCCCATATTACATTTGCCTTTTAACTATCATAACTTTATAAGGGTATTTTGTAGGGCTTTGAAAGAAAGAACTATCAAAAACAAACTAAAAAATAAATGGTTAGCCTCTGAAACAATAAATGATCGATTCCTCAATGGGAACAGTTAGACCTCCACTTTCAAAAGGATTAAAACATTAAGGTAGGCCTAATCTAGTTCATTTTATTGGATGAGTGGGAAACCTCAACCATTTGCAGAAATGAGTATTGCAGTTGGTTGGAAGCGTCGTTCCCCTACTAATCACCATTGATAAGCGAACCGTGCAATAATTTTACAGTATAGTTGTAAGCACGGGACGTAAGATATGGGCCCTCACGTAACGTGGGAGAAGGGGGGGGGCGGTTGACTTGATGCACGGCTGCTCTAACGTTAGCTTCAAATATGCTAGACTATCAAAAGTGCCTGTTAACGATTTCTAAGGTTGATATTTTCACAGGCATTCGTACTTAACTTATGCCATTATGTCCTTTCCACCTTCATCAATGAAGGGGGAAGATGCTTCGATACTGATAAAAGTTGAGACTTTAAGCCAAACGTTAGGCCCCGACCCTATGCTGGTCAGGATGTTTCGAGTTAACGGGTATATAGCGTTAGACAAGCACTTAATATAACGTGGACGTAGTTAACTTTAGGAAAGATTTGAAAGGTGATACCAGTAGGTTTAATACCTAGACTTAGCACCTTCACAGTTAACAACGCAACTGATGCCATGCGAGCAAGATGCACGTGGCCATAAGCAAACTTGAGTGATTGAAGGACAGCTGTTATTATTTTAAAGATAACAGCTGTCCTTCAAAATAATATTTTATTATTTAAAAAAATACTCCATGAATACTTTGCTTTTATTTTGAATAGCGTGACTATTTCTATTTTAAATAATAAATCATTGTGAAACCGCATTCATACTAATTTCGCAAAATAGAAAGGGTTTCAAAATTAAGTAGCCCAAATTTAGGATTACCAGATTTTTTTTCCAGGGAAAACCGAGACATTTTCAAGAAAATGCCGGAATGTTAGTCCCTGCGATGGGAAAAAAAAATCAGGACACCAGGATGGAAAGGAAAATTCAAACCGGGACATAACTTGAAAAACCGGAACTGTCCTAGTAAAACCAGGATGTCTGATCGCCCTTCCAAAATTCATACGATGCTTTCACTTGAGTCAGACAATATTTCACTTGACTCAGACACCTGTGCATGGGATGTTCCTCATGCACTCGTGCATGAGGAACATGTTATTCAAGTGACAAATTGCCTAACTCAAGCGAAAAACACTATTAGTTTCAGCTTATCGAAGAAGTTGCCTTTCACAAAATCCAAATTCCCCTGACCCAGTTCAAAGATGAATGCTGATAGCTCGGACTCCCTCAGAGGATAGCATGCCCATTCGCCATATGCCAAACTATCTAATCAGAACAGCAGATAGGATGGCACATGCAGAACCCGTCCTGTAAAACAAAAAAAAAGTTTTGAAAGCAGCTAGCCCTTATTCGTAGTTGCAAGCACAAGATATGAATAATGTCAAGTTATTAATCGCACGCACTATCTGGCAGTAAAGGGTAACAAATGTCTACAGAATCAAGCCCGCTGCATAGGACTAATAACAGCATTCCCGAATAGGATGACCTCATGATGACGGATAAACAGGCAATACATTTGGATCTTGAAATCGTTCCTGGTAGAAAAGCTTCTTTCAAATAAGAAAAAATTCATTCAGATGCGCAAATACTCTGTAATGGGAAAAAAGAATCAGTAAAGATAACCACGTGGTAGCCATTTCACTTGCCAATTTGTGTGTCCACCCTGGTGTTGGTGGGGATTCAATATTCGTATAAAATATGTTCTGGTCTTTGCTTCCATGCCAATTCAAACGATGGTTAGGACTTACTGCTGTCGACATGGACCCTCAGTTTAGTAGGAGAGCAATAGGATACAATAGGCTTACCAGACAGAATTGAAGCACTAACGCAACAGATTCAACGGTACCTCCCATTTTTTTAAACGGGTGCGCCCAATAAGTTCTCTGCTTACGTTGAACCATTGGTTTTTGAAAGCCAATAGTGGCTAGTTGTGTCACAAACGCACTGTTCTTCTGCGAAGTTAGAAGCCAGTACCTATATGATGCAAGGGTAGCAATTTTTCATCTTGCCGTACGATTGAATTTTCATTGATTTTCACAAATTTGAGCACTGATCTATGATAAAGTTGTCCCCCCCCCCCCGGATACGTGTTGTCACAGATAAGTTCGATTCACACAAAGAAAGTACAATACAGTTCCTATCTTCCGACAGGGTTTAAGTAGCACACACTTACACACGCTCAAGTAGAGAGAAATGGTTGCTTCTGAGGCTTATCTAAAGCTAGGATCCATTGAAATCCTTGCCACTTTCTCCAACCCGTTAATGCCAAGCTTCAAGGTCAGTGCTTTTGCTTCTTTGCCACTTTCTCCCAGTTTTTCAAGTCCCATCAATTTGCTAACCTGTTGTCTCAATGGATCAAGGCGACATACGAGGGGGGGTCAAAAAGTATTTTCAATGTTTCCCATGGGACGACCGTAAATGCTACTGAACTGCCTACCGTATTCAGCATTGGTGTGAGTATTCATCGCCACGTAGTCATAGTTGTGAGTATTAACGACGTTCCCAGTCATGGATAGAACAGGAGACTAACAATGTGATGGTAATAGTAGGATGACCAGATTTTTTTCAGCAAAACATGGACGTTATCAAGAAAATACCGGGGGGGGGGGGGGGGGATCAGGATGGAAAGGAAAATTCAAACCGGGACATAGCTTGAAAACTAGGACGTCTGGTCACCCTAAGTAATAGGCAAGGACAAGGATGGAGACAATGATGGATGGCAGGGATGGATTCTTTCGTCTCTGTGGAAGGGAAGAGTTGTGACCGCCGACATCGTGCGAAGGTTACAAGCATATTTGCAATGAAAATTCACCGACTGTCCAGACAGTTTACAACTGGGAGCGATTGTTCGCAGAGAGCCTCCAGAAGCTCCCAAATCGTTGGTAAAACGTGCATTGACATTGGTGGGGACCACGTTGAGAAATTGCGTTTGTGTTTCTACATGCGTGTGTATGAGAGCGCGTAATTAAAAATAGTTTTTGACCGCCTCTCGTAGTTACAGTCTGAATGAGGAAGTAATTACAGAAGAAATGTTCTCAGAGGAAGATATTTGAATATTTTTTTAGCGTTTGAATGATATATTTATATCAAATGACATAATCATGAAATTTATTCAAACTTGGAAGAATGATTGAATCCTTAATATAGGGAAAACTCCCCCCAAAAACAATTGAACAATACCGTGATTCCAAAATCGTGCAATGCCTGAATTTCATGAATACACGGGAACAAAGTAACGAAGCACCGAATTTTGCAGGAATACAGTTTAACACGTGTCAAATCCATACCACTCCCAAAAAGAGTGGTTTTTGGTTGCACAAACATACGCGATGCTGCATCTTTTCTCCAAGCTGCAAGCTGTCCTGCGATATTGCTGTAATACCACGTAGCATCTGTGACTGACTTGGATAGTCTGCAGATCGCGTGGGTTGTTGCTAGGTTGGGTGCTGTGTTGTTGTTCTTTGGGAGATTCCGCGAAATGAAGCTAGGCGCTTTCAGGTCCGTAATGGGTGAACAACTAATTCGGCAACGTGCCTCACTTCAAACCTTGCTTCAAGACTTCTTTGATGACAAAGGTCCTTGGCCCTAAGATCTCAGGACTTCATTTGACCTGACTTCTTTTCATGGAGATACCTACAGAGCAAGATTGATATCAACAACCTACACGATCTGAAGGCTGTACTTACCATGTTCAACCATACAGAGGTCATTCCAACGATATCCCAGGACTCTATACAGCTCGTGGCAAAGAATCTGCATTATTTAGTGCAGGGGTGTCAAACATACGGTCCACAGGCCGGATCCGCCCCACGGAGGTGGTTTATCCGGCCAGCCGCCTGTTCTTGAAATTTCTGCTTGGATTGACTGTTAGCACAAATTTCGGTGAAAAATTATGGGTGCGGCCCGCAGGCATCTGTAGGGTAAGGAATGCGGACCGCCGACCGATTTGAGTTTTACACCCCTGATTTAGTAAAATTGAGCACCCAAGAACGTGGCGACCACTTTTACCACTTTTTATGAGTGATATGTGTCTTTCACATGTTCAAATTGTAATAATAATTTTTATTTATTAAGTTGATGATTCGATGCCACATTCTGCCTATGTAAAGAAAATTTTTGGATTAGTTGCGTAACTTTGGAGTCACCCAGTACTTCTGTTCTTGAAAGCACATGTGAAGTAAATATAGTGAATTGTTTGCTTAGATTTACACATTGCCTCCCTTGTATTGATGTGGTCAGGAAGATATGTGGCTGGTACAATGGGAAAAAGCTTTTTTTTTTACTCTTGAAGGTGCTATTTTCTGTTTAAAATATGCATACTTCATATGCTAATTATATTCCATATCCATCTCAGCTAGAATTTTTCCTGTCTGTTTCTTTTTCTAAATTAAAATAAGAAAAATAGGACCTGACTCAGCAACTTGTAACTATCTTGTCCAGTTCTGGCAAGAGGAGATATGCTTGATTACTTCCCGGGTCGCAGCGCCATGCCCTATTTTTCCAGGTTGAGATTCGAGGTTCTTTTCATAAAATGACAAGTTGTTTGATTCTCTTTTTTGAATTATTGGATTCTAGAGCACCTTCCTTTCTTAAATTTATTTATGTTTTCTTATAGCAATAAGGATCAGACTAACTGTCATACGAATGAAGAATATTTATGATGTGGTACAGAGCTTCAGCATCCTTGTACCAACATGGGACCACAGGTACACGTTACAGGCAATCCGCCCATCAACTCTGGGAGGCCTAACTGGGTTTTACCTGAATTCGAATCTTAATTGTACCTGTCTGCACTATGTTGAGCGAGTGAAACTGTAAAGTTCTGTCAAGGTATGGCTCTTCGACGTCGAAAGATCGTCCAGACTGTGGAGAAATTGGACGCTTTTTCGAAATTGCCAGAAGAATGCACTGTCACTTCCAAATCAGGTGGCACGAGTGAGTTCAGACAGCTTGAAGCTCCATGGATTGCATTCTTTGAATCAGGCTTACCTAGCTGTATATCTCCTTTTTTTGTGTGTGTGCTTGCTTAGCCCTATCCCCGAGATAGTGAACGCCCAAGGCCGAACCCTTTCGCCCTCAAAACGGATGCAATTAAGGAGCAATTCTAATAGATCCCAAGCAGCTTGCATTTTTCTCAGAGGGTTATTTGATGCTTTTGAATGTTTGTGGTGTTTTGTGCTTTGGCGAAGGACTTAATTGAATAGCTCGTGAAAGAGAAGCATCCCGAAGTTCAGTTTTGAGAAATACAACCTTAGCAGGATCATATCTGTGAGTTGTAGAATTTCTCCTACCATACCAGTCTTATTTAAAGGTAAAGAACAGTGGTGTATTTTGGCTGAAAGGTCGGAGGACAGGACAACAGAGTGGAGATGCCAAACCCCACCCGAGCCATATCAGGGGAGAAAGATATTACCTCCAAGGGGGTGCCAGGGGGGGATGGCTGCCTCCCCTGCCCCCCTGTAAAATATGCCACTGGTAAAGAGTTACTTGCAGAGCAACACCAAGCACTCAAGGGCTTTAGGAATTGTAAGATGGTATTTTTTTAAAAGTAAGTTTAAATTTTCTGACACTTTTCATTGATAGGAAGGGTAGTGGTCTTAATGAAAAAAAAAGAAGACAAATGCCAGTGAGGGCCTGTAATTATAGATTTTAACACATTGTAAACATATAGCAATACCTTGGTGAAGCACATGGGCATTTTTTCAATATTCCAGGTTTCTTATGATTTCCCCCCGTTTCTATTAGCCTATTATTTATTTCTTGAACACGATTTTATAGGCCTGGTGGAGTCTCAGCATGGATCCCTGGGTATCTGTGGAATTCTGGTTTGAGGCTTTATGATCTGGTAGGGTTTAGTGAGTCTTACTGTCAGAATTGCAGGGTCTGATATGTATGGTACCTGAAAATGATATAACCACTGGTGTGTATGATTCTTTTGTAATGTGACAAGTACATGCAGGGTTGGACTGGCTTAACAACATACTGGGAAATTTCCCAGGTAGCCCCCAGACCTGATGAATTATAGGTGGAATTTTAGTGAACATTAATTGCAACTAATGACCTTATACTGATATTGATTCCATAGGCTTTGCAAATTGTGTACAGCTATAAAGATTATTAATAATTATGGTGCAGTTACTTAGTATTCACCTTGTTCTAGGGGCCCTTATTCTAGAAAATTTCCTGAAGGGTTCATAAGGCCACCAGTCCAACCTTGAGTACATATGTACAGAGCACATAAATTGAGGCAAGTAAAATGGTGCCTTTAAGTTAGTCAGTGTCAACAGTTTCAGCAGTCTTATGCCCAATGAGTCAATCTTGAGTCAATTGATTTCCTTAGAATGTTCATCCAGGGAACATGATTTCCTGATATCCTGAACATTCGTATGAAATCCATCTCTATTGAAAATCAGGTTTGTCTGTTCTTCACAAAACTTAAGGCTTCAGAACACTTTCCTTATTGCACATTTTACCAGACAGCTTGTTTGGCTCCCTGAGTTTTGGGAATGGGGGTCCTAATCCTGCCACCCTTATATGAGAGGGAAATGGGACTCCAATGGAAATACATGGTGACATTTGACTCCTTCAGACTATGAAAGAAAGTGACTGTAGCATGCATCATGTAGTGTTCATTATGTGCACAGAGTAAGTCCATAAGAAACACTTGTCCTCTGGAGGTATATGCAGAAGGCATGTAATACCCCTAGTATGAGTGATCACTGGTTACATTTTATTCAGTTTTTGGACTTCAGTTTGGCTTAGAAGAGAAGGTTATAGTTGCACACTTTGCTTCAATTTGATTGCTGCCTGAAGCTGTAGACAAAGCAAAATTGGCAATTCAGCAAAAGCATTTGGTGCTCTTACATCTATTAACATAAGGGATATAAGAGCACCTATTCAGACCTTGCTCCCCTTTGGCTTCTATTAGTATTGCCTCCATAAGGATGCACTCTGTGATAACAGAGTTCATCAGTCATGCTGATGAAGTGAAACCAATGGTGTAAGAGTGGCTTTGGGAGAGACTATAAGAATTCTCTGCTGCAGAAATCAGGAAGTTTACAGTCCAGTGGACAGAGTTTATCATTGTTATTGGAGACTGTGTTGAAAAGTAACAGTAAGCATAGCCTTCCCAGGCTTGTATGCAAGCTACTTTTTAATTGAAAGTTTCTTCACTTTCTGATCTACCCCTCTAATATGCTTTATTTACTTTTGTCTGTCAGCCCATGGGCTGCGTACTAAGGGGTCTCTGATAATAGGGTGCATCCTCTATTTTTGATCCTATCCATGGGTGTTTCTAATTAAGTTTTTCTCTTTTTTAATTCTATGGGGCAGAACTCATTTAGGAAAGTGTGGATGTTTCACAGGTCTGCTTGCAAGTTATATAAATGATATTTGAATAAGTATATTTTTTCCCCCCTATAGTCTCTCTTCTCACATTTGCTCTCCTTGCTTGGTTGGTGATTCTGGAGGTGCATGACTACCTCACTGATTCTAGTCTCCGCTTCACATTCCACCCAGACAAGGACTTCACTGCAAAGCTGAGTATTCATGTGGATATGACTGTTGCCACTCCATGCTCAAGTTAGTTATTTTCTGTGATTCATGTGTCATCTTTACATTTTTTTGGTTTTTACTGGTATTTCAATATGAAGTCAATCCTGCCTCTACATTTTAAGAGCTATCGAGTGTTTTGATTTTCTTTCTGAGTCCTTTAGTCTGTCTGTCATCATTCATTTGTCCTTTGTATTTCTCCAAATAGTGATAGGTGCAGATGTAACAGATGCCACCAAACAAAACATGGCTCTGTTTGGGAGATTTGATGAGGAAAAGGCATGGTTCAATTTGTCACCAAGGCAACGGGCATATTTTGATCGAGTAAAGGAAGTCAACTCCTATCTGAGGGACCAATACCATTCCTTATCTCATCAGCTCTGGAAATCAGGATATTCCACATTGTATGGCTCAATGCCTTCTCGCTCATCGTGAGTATTAGTACCCACTTTTCTCCCAAATGCAGTGTAATAGGTGCTCATTTCAGTTTACCTCTACAAGTGAAGCCATTCTCATAGCTTAATATTAGCCTATCCATATCCCTTGCATTTGTTGTGCTCATGCTTATAACTGGTATGGACTGAAAACATGAAAGTGCCAATATATGTGTACTGTCTGTCTGGCAGCAAAAGAGTCACACTCCAGGACTAAAGCTTTTAGGGATGGGACAATGAAGGGCATCCTGTTATATTTCTAGTCTTTGGTGGAAAATGTAGGTGCTGAGGAATTATAGCATGCTTTGGTCTTGTCTGATGAAGTTGGCATTTCTGTCAGCTGAAAGACCTTCTGGAACAGCCATATGTGAATTGTGGCATCCTTTTCTTGATTTTTAAATTCCATTGCATTCTTCCTCAGCATGATTATTCTCATCATTATTAGGCTCATTACTATTGCTATTATTAGACTCACTCACAATAACCATATTAGACTCACTCAATTTTCATTTTTTCCCTCCTTTATCCTTGCTCTTATCTTCTATGGCTGCTCTTGAGGCATTGAATGATGGAAATATTAAATGCTGCTTTTGGCTCTTAATTCTTTATCTATGCTGCTATTGCAGGCAAAATTTGACAGCCTTGATTCCTAAAAAAAAAAAGGAACCTATATCTCATCATCTCAGGTGAAGAAATAAAGTGGAGTTTTGTGACTCCTTGACCTGCCAAGTAAAACAGAAAGTATGGCTTTTGAAGCTAGGTAGACTATGCTTGTGAAGTTTAAACTTTTATAGCATGCCTTTGTATACCTTAATTCTTGGCTGCTATGTTATATATTGCTAGTAGCTTGACTAACTTAGATCTTGAACTATGGTCAGGGGAGAACTTTAGCAGCATTTCTTTTCCTGCTGTTTCCTGTCTAGTACCCATGAAGGCTTAACCACTATTTTGTCATTTTTCCATGCTATTCTTTTGCTATTATTTGTTTCTTCCTATTAGTTCAATGTTTCCCTTATGAACATCATGTCTCTCCTTAATGCTTCAAAATATTAATTATACTAATTATTTTACTAATTTTTTTAGCAGTACAATCCAGGTTTCCTTTGTGATAACTAATGGCAAACAAATTAGCCACTGTTTAGTTTTCTAGTATTGTAACTGCTCCAATGTAACTCCATGTAACTGCTAACACTGCAGAAACCTAATACTATTTTTACCTACTAAAGTGAAACCTTGCTTACCCAATTAATTCAGGGAAAAGTGGTCAAAGTTCTGCATTTTTCGTGCATATGCCAAGTTGTACAGCAAATTCCCAGCTGCACAGCATGACCTAGTGCTGCATCAACTGGTTTGCAAGTGAAGGATTCAGGAGAGAATGGAAAATCACTTAGCTTGTTTCCAATCCAAAGCTTAATATGATAAGGCAGTTTCTTTCATATGCAGGTTGTAGTACAGCAGAGGACAACTGCCTAAGTGAATTTTTTTTAGCTAAAGGTTATTTTTTGGGTCTTTCAGGCAGAGGGTTTGTTGATACCTGAGGTTTACAATATTTATATTTACTGTTATTCTTTCTCTATATACCTAAATATACTTCCATCTACTTTTTATGATTCCCTACTCTAAGTATGGAATGATTCAGTCAGCTGTGATTTTTTTAAACCTATTTTGCATGTAATATGTAGAGTACAGTTTGGTAGGCCAATGCAAGTTTCTATACCTATTGATCATCTAAACAAATGAACTTCACACAAAAAAATGTCAAATCCATTGGTTTGGGTGTTTTTGTAGCCAGGAATATATCAAGAAATTTAACTGTCATAATTATCCAGCTTCAACTTATGTTAATGCTTGTCCTATTATATCTTACACCTTGACCCTAAAAATAAATGTAGACTGTTATCACCATCCTTGTGACTAGATAAAACATACTCATGTCTACCAGATCCATTATTCACTGTCATGAGTTTTTTTTTCTTCTAACAGAGTGGAGATACCTGACACACCACATGATGCTTGTCGCATACATGGTACACTCCAAGTTAATAAAGTTGGCGGGAATCTCCATGTGATTGCTGGGAAAAGCATAGACATTGGAATTGGCCATGCTCATATATCCATGATCATGTTCGGTTCTGATTTTCCCAATTTCAACTTCTCACATCGCATTGATCGCCTATGGTTTGGACAGCCTAGTTCTGGGATCATTCAGCCATTAGATGCTGATGAGCAAATAGCTGATTCATGTAAGTAATTTCTGAGTCCCCTTACAGGCTTATGGTTTTTACAGAAGAGCTTTCTTATAGTACATGAAGTGGATCCTGGAAACTTTCTAGAGGATATATGTGCAATTAATCAGTTTTGTAGAATGGAGGATATGTTATGAATTGAAATTTTTGTTTCTTATGATAGCCAATATGATGTATCAATACTTCATCACTGTCGTTCCAACTGAAGTGGTCACAAAATTCACCTCAACCACCACTTACCAATATTCTGTGAAAGAGCTTCATCGAGCCATAAGTCATGAAAAAGGATCCCATGGAACACCTGGCATTTACATCAAGTATGACTTCAGTGCCTTGAGGGTGAAGGTTTCAGAAGATGCAGAGCCCTTATGGCGTTTCCTCACCCGGCTGTGTGCTATCACAGGAGGAGTTTTTGCTACATCAGGTGGGTCTAATGGCTTATTTTTGTCTAGTGTTATGTGGTTAGAGATTTGTGTTTGACAGGAGATGAAATTTTCTTCCTATTGTTTTTCTTGGTACCAAAACAATAAGCAGAGGACTTTGGTTGATTTAAAAAAAGCTATATCTTCTTACTAATTCATGATAAAATTCCATATAATTAAGTTGCCATCTGCTGCAGCAGTACATACCCCCAAACATACTTGGAAGAGTTGTCCAAATTGGAGAGCAGGGTATGTGTGTTGAATGTCACTGATTTGTCCGATTTTTTTGTTTAAAACTTTTATTGAGTCTCCATCATTACTTGAGTAGTGTGAGGAACTCCAAAACTTGTTTCACATTGGAAATCTTTTTGCAGGTATAATAACATCTGCCATAGAGGCCATGGTTGATTTTATTTGCTGTCGGCGGCAAGCCAAGGAGAAGTTGCATGCTATGGAATCAAGGAATATGGGTGAATGTTGCTCCCTGCTACCAGCTGAAACCAGTGAGGTTGACAGTCAAGGATGCACATCTCCTCTTCTAGTAGTGCCAGATAGTGAAGAACCTGGAAACTCATCTCCTTTGTTTATTAATGGCTTCCCTGCATCCAGCATAAATACTCCATATGTTGAAGCCACTGAGGACACAGGCAGGTAGCACTAGAGTCCTCCTGCCTCTTAATATTTCAAATTCTTGAGTAGTTGAGAAGGTTGCCTTATCATTTTGGAAATTCTCACATGTGATTCTTTGGCAGTTTTGAGTTGCTTTTCATTTTTTTTTCTATGATGGCGATTTCTCATGTCTGTTCCCTGGTCTCTCCTCCATCAAATGTTCCACTGATGATCTACTGTGATGATCTAATAATATGGCTCATCCTTGTTCTGAATTCTTCTTCAGATAGGTATAGTATGGTTTGGATGATTATATATAAGCATGACCCTTCTTGCATTCCAGATGCTGAGGGAATATATTTTGCAAAGCAATCCAGATGACTGGAGTACCACTGCAATCAAAAGTGCTGATAAATGTAATGGTCTCATTGCAATGATATCAGCTAAAGGATTGTTTCCTTCTGAAAGCCTGATGTTGACCTAGACTTAGGGATGAGGTTCTTCTACTGCTTCTTTCTCAAATCCCTTTCTTATAATACAGCTACTGTTACTTAACTTGCTGTTCAACATGAATATGATGAATTACATGGAAAATTGTAGGAATAAGTGAAGCTTCTCCCAATAAAAAATGAAAGACCTCATTCAAGAAAATGCCAAGTGATAGCCTTTCTACCTTTCATCCTCCTGCATAGGCAATATTATTACATGGATTTAAGCACTCCCCCATCCTGAAATTTCTGATCAATATATTTTGTAACTTCAATCTTTCAAAAAAGTGGTTTATGTGGTATGTTATTTGGGTTTGGGAAAAATGTTTCTTTAAATGTTTTGTTCCATACTACTTATTTACAGCATAAGGAAAGTATTCTCCACAAATTTGCTATAAAGAGCATAGAATTCCTCTCACACCCTGATGGGGCTTGAATGTGCTTCAGTGTTGCACTTTCAGTATGTTTTAGTCTGATCTTCAGTGAATATTTTGCTTATTGATTTTTGCATTTATGATAGTGTTCTATTGAAATTGGATATTATGGAAGTCTTGCTGGAAGACACTCTGGTTTGAATCTTCTAGTCATGAATGGAGCCCCAGTGGTGTATTCTGGCATATGGGTCAACAGTAACTAGATACCAGGAAGGGGACATCAAGTCCAAACTTGCCATTTCTTATAGCAAAGTAAGAATCAGTCTTGAGTAAAAGGGCTAATAGCTTTAACCCATCCTGTGCTGTTGATGGATGAGTCAGCCATTATCCTTTTTCCTGTGGCATGCCAATGACAGGTCTTACCTGTCTGCCTAATTCAAACTTGATTTGGCAATGCTGCTGCTCAGCTGACAGTGTTGGCAGTCATCTCATCACATAGCCAGCCACATGTTCAGTTCTGGTGCAAGTTGATTTGTAGCTCTGGCTGTAGCAACCCCTACTACCACTAAAATGGATGTGATGCATGAGATGGTTAAGCTCCTTCCAAAAGCCTTCTTTATACCCTGTAAAATGCACCACTGGACAGTTCCTTGGTGTAATCAATTAAAAGTATCTATGTGATGTTATTTCCTTCTTTTAGGATGAAAGAATTTTTGTGATCTTGCTATTAATATAATTAATAATATAATTAATATAAAGAGCTATTAATCAAGTGTGACAGACTTGAGTTAAATTCAATACGGTAAGAGGCTACTCCTCAATGCTGTGTTGGTAAAGGACAATTTTGCACACAAATGCCTTTGAAATGGCAGAAGATACAACATCTGCAGTGTTTTTAAATAGTGCCTTTAAGATTTTTTATGTGCAGATTAAGTTGGTCATATTTTGTTTTATACTTGCTTGAAATGAACAGAAAATGGGTCTTGAAATATGCAGTCACAATTGCCATCTTTCCCTTTCTGAATTCTGGTGGCAACGTATTTATTGTACAGTGATCAAAATTAGACAGTTTACCATCCTTCATTGAAATCATGTGTTCAACATTTTCCCCCTGAAACATAATGCCAAAATTGATTCAATTGGTGTATTTAAAAATCCTATAGCCAGCAGTTTGTTTGCATCTTCTGCCTTTTTAATTAAATCCATTTTGGAATTTGATACTTTTTAACCATCCTGTGTTTTCCTGATAATAGTGGTGGTTTTAGTGTGTTCAGTTGTTTCTCCTTTTCCTGGTTTTCTCATGAAAAATCACATCATATAGTACTTCCTCAGTCATTGGACTTCCTGATGCCTTTATCAAATAGCCATCTTGCATAAAGGGCTGCATGACAACGTTTTTCAGGAGTCTGAGTGACTCAGATCTCCCAAGTCTTGTGATATGTGTGATATGGAGATTGTTTCAAGAAAAAAAATTTGAATTGGCAAATACAATCCAATTAATTGTTTTTTTTTGTTGTTTCAATTTTGGTGACTGAACACCATGAACCATGAACAAATTGAGTTTAGTCTGGCAGGGTGCTAGAATCTCCTTGCCTTCTGCAAAAGCAGATGGTTTGCAGAGCTCGAAACCATCTCTAAACTATTAGTATTTGTTGCAAATGCTATTAATCAACGTGTATTTTGGAAACTCCTCCTGAAGAGAATGAACATGATGAAAATGCCCTCTTGACATGACACGAAAAAATGGAATCAGAGGCCTCATTCTGTGATGTTTGGATTAAATCAAGACAGAAGTCTTGGGCTGGTCCTGATTGTGATCAGTTCTGCAGCCTTCTCATACTACACTTTCTGGATCGTAATAATGGTGAGGTGATGCTAGGAACTTGCACAATCCTATTATTTTAGATAACTGCTATTTCTGACTAAAATATCCTTGAACATGACGCAATCATCATGGTTTTATTTGTGCGTAGGGAAGAACATGAAATTGATCTACATGTTGAGAAAGTGACGCTCGATCTTGCTTTTCTAATTCGTGGAAATCTTGGGAACCCGGAAAGCTTAGTTTTGTCACGTACTTGTTTCAATAAATCTATTGTTATTATAGAGAGTGCTATGCAGTGTCCGATCGAAAAACTTGTGAATATTGTGGAGTGGCTATTTTAAGCTTCATCCGCATCCAGATGTGAATTTTTTTTCTGCCAATTTTCTCCGCTTTACCTTCAAAGAAAGCACAATCAAGAGCTACACGAGAAATTCCATGAAACTACCTTTGTTCAAAATCTGCCAAAAGCGAGTCAATCAGTGGAAGAGGTCTACCTATTATAGCATGGGTTAAGAACTTAAGACCTTAATCATAGTCATAAACTTGAGATTTTCTCCTAGTGAAGATCGACCTGTTTCTTGCAGATTTTTCACCTAACCAAAATCGCGAAATTTGTCAGCCTCTCGAATGGAAGGTGCAGCTGCACTGTGGTAAAATTGTGTACATCGGAAACGGATTTCGTTTCGAACAATTACTGCACAATTTTCAAAATTTTGAAATTGATTTGTAGTAATAGTTTAACCTGTCAAAACGATTTATTCGTTCTCGGTTCCAAATTGATCATTTGACCGTGTCTCAGAAAGGGGTTCACGAAGCTGAGAAGAATAGGGGCGCATAAAATTACGCCCATAGAGCGTCACTTTCTGCATTCCCTTTAGTTGCGAGTGGCTATCCTCGTAAGGATCATCCCCGTGTCTTTCTCGCATGCCCTTGCAGCCATTCGTTGAAGACGGAGATGCGTTGTCCCCTATGTTCCTTCCTCAAATCTACGGGATCTTCGCTTCAGCCGGAGTTTTTGTTCTCCTCCTCGCCTCACTCAGTAAGCTGACTCGATCATATGACACACATAGCCTAAGTCTGCTCAGCTCATTCTCAAGTCACTTGATTCCTTCTTTATCCAGTGCTGTACCTGCTGGTGATTTTCCTGAAGCAGCAGTGAAATTGTCATTTTTTTAAGGGATTCAATTTATTTACCCATCGCATTCCATGCCTCGCAGGTTGCTGAGTGGCAATAAAATTTATTTCAGGGCTTAGCGCTTCACTGCGGGATAAACCTCTCTGTCAGAAGGGAGTCTTAAGAACAAGAAGAGACGAATCTCCACGCTCTAATGCATCGACGAAACGGTCGTAGGAATGATCCTATCAATATATCATGCTCGTTTTGGTTCCACGTGCCCCAATTTTTTTTTGCAGACTTCATCTGCAAAACAAGTGAGAGAGCATTGGGATAGCAACACGTGCACGTGTTGCTATCCCAAGCATAACTTCGGGGAACTACAGCCCATGGGCTGTAGTTCCCCGAAGTTATGCTTCTAGCCCTCCAAACACTAGTCTACATGCATCCAACATTTCCCTCCCCCCTCCGCGAATAAATTTCTGGCTATGTTGGAAGGGAGGTTAGGTGGCGAAATATTGGCTACGCCACTGATTGAGAGTTTGCAGCGCTGTGCCGTGTAACATATCCATAACGTTACCAGAATCATCTCTCGGTGTAACGTGATGAAGACAATGTGCAGATTCTAGGCCTACTTACCTTTGGCGTTAGTTGTTCTTATGCTTCTTTAATGGGTTCTTTGGTGTGTGCTCGTATTCGTACTTACAGTCCCAGGTGGCGCCGTTTGTTGAACCAACATTTCTGTGTTGGTCCAACATGCTCTGTTGCCTTATACTATATGCTCCCTACAATTGAACGATGCGGCGAGTTCTCATAGGGATGTGTGATCGGCTTTTCCAATAAGATTCATCCTCCCATGGAGGGCGAAAGAATCGAAGAGGAGAAAAGAAAGGGAAGTGGTGGAAAGGGAAATGGAAGCAAGAAAGTGTCAATTGGAATGAAATTGAGCGCAGAGGATTCGCAAGGGGGTGATCCCCGTATAGATCACATATCTCTCAGTCTTCTCGAATCACCCCGTTTGTGGATCAGCTGTCAGAACCACCGAGGGCATTCCCTTCCCCTTCACCCATGCAGACCTTGCCCTTTTCGACCCTGAATCATTCTTCTCTCCTTGTCCACTTAATCTTCATCCTCCCTCATCGATCGAGCACCCAATCAAGTTAGTAGCCACTTCCGTAGAGAAGTAGATGAATTAGACGAATAGAGAAGTAGACGACTGAGCAGGAGTTGCTGATTTGTCAGGAT